ACGTCCTATTGAATATTAATTGAAAACATATTGAAAATTAATTTAAAGTTTAGAATTAGTCATTGGGTATAAAATTAGTCATTGGATATAAAGTTAGTCATTGGATATAAAAATTAGTCATTGGATATAAAATTAGTCATTGGAAATTAAATTTGAAATTAAAAACTAAATCTCTTACATTCTACTTAATTTCTAAAAATTCTCTGATGTCATAACAGCATTTTTCTAAAAGGAACTCTTTTAACTTTTTGTAAAATATTACATCTTTTTCTACATTTTTTATTTCAGTTGGTATCTTATTATATATTTTTATTGACATATGGTATGTTCCTTTTTTTTTTTTTTTTTTTTATTATCCCAGGGAATCTGCTTACAGATACCCCGGCCCCGCGGGGGCAGAGCCGGGGTTATGTGGGACTGGGCTGAACCCTGAAGGGGAGCAGCCCGACCGCACTAAACCCCCGGAGTGTTCCTCCCCTCCGCTGTAGGTGGGGGTACGGGTACGCTGTTGCACTCGTCCGCGCCCCCACCAGCGGCTGGCGGCGCCCTGCGCAGCCCCTCCTCGAGAAGGGAGACACATCGGTCCCCCGACTCCGAATGTGAGGCTCGCCGAACACCAGACGAGCCTTCCATCCCGGGCCCCTTTATGCTGGGCAACGAATTCCCCCGAGTCCGCTACCCAGGGGCCATGGGGGGCCAGGACAGCATCCACTCAACTGTGAAGTTCAGTGGCTGCTCCCCCAGCCCCCGCGGCGGATCTGATGACAGGCTCCGCCGCAACACCTAACGCGCTTCCGCGCGGACTCTCCGAAGAGAGTCCCTTGGAGTGCCCACCACGGGCCAACCGCCCACGTTCGGCCGGAGGATAGGACGAGCGGCAACGACACACCGACACGTCTCTTCCCCCGCGGCCCCGCCGCCACTGCATCATTAAAAGCGGTGCAGCCCCGCCAGGGTCGCGGAGGACAGGACGAGCGGCAACGACACACCGATACGTCTCTCCCCCCGCGACCCTCCTCCTCGCGCATCCGCGCGGTCCCACTGGCCAAACGGGCCCCGCGCGGAACGCCCTCCTCCTCGGGCCAGCCTACCACCATCGGCCGGCCCCGTGGGTTCCTCTTAGCTTCACCGTGGGATGAAATCGACCACGGCTACTAGAGCCCCCCCGCCACGACAAGGCGGGAACCCCTTCGGGGGATATGGTATGTTCCTTTTTTTTTTTTTTTTTTTAACGGTGGGGAATCCTTTATGGATACCCCCGAGCCCGGGCGGCTCGGAGGTTATGTGGGAGTCCCGGCGCCCTGAAAAGGGCGCTGCTCCTGGGTCTGGCATGGACCCAGGGGTGTACCCACTAAACCCCATCGGTTTGCCTCTCGCCGGGTTTGTGTCGGCGCCGTGGGATCATCTCTATTTCACCACGACGCCGCCCGGCCGCCCCGGCCACTAAGCCGGGGCTCCCGCGCCTATGGAGGAGAGGATCGGTTTTCTCCGCCCCTCTCCCCAGACGATTGAGGCCGTGCAATGCGAACAGGGGGCCCTAGTCCCTGTCCGCTGGCCTCAGTGGGGAAGGAGTTGAGCGGCAAATTGCCGCCGCCTCCTCCCCGCCCGTCTGCGCCGGAGCGGGGGTGCGTCAGGCGCGTCCTCGCGCTCCCGCTCCGCCGCCTCCTTTTGCGTCATCACTTCCACGCAAAAGGAGGCCACCGCGTCCCAGGACCTCTCATCCCGCAGCATGGCCGCGACCACGCTGGGCAGCGAGAGGTCCCTCCCTATTGTCGCCACCAGAGTGCGGCGCTGCTCGATCCACCGGCAACACACCTCGAGGGTGTGCTGCGCGGTGTCGTCCACGGCGCCGCACTCGTGGCACGACGGGGACGCCTCCCTCCTCGCCACCCTGTGCAGGTAGTGACCGAAGCAGCCGTGCCCGGTCAGGATCTGCACAAGGTGGTACGACAGTGGCCCGTGGGACCGGTGTGCCCACTCAGTGAGGACAGGGCGGATCGCCCCTATGGTTCTAGCTCCATAGGGGGGATCCGCCAAGCCCTCTTTCCACCGGTCCCGCATGCGCTGGACCGCGAGGCGGCGCTCCCGCTCCACCTCTTGTGGAGCAGGGTTCTCGCCTCGCACCCTCCTCTCTCGCCGGAAGTTGTGAACCTCCGCCAGGACCTCCGCTTCGAGGTCCCACGGCGGAGTTCCGGCGAGAACGCATGCCGCGGCCGCGGCCACTGTCTGGTACGCCCTGCACATCCGCAGGGCGACCACCCTCTGGGGCCTTCTCAGCAGCGCCCTCGTTGCCGCTGATAAGGCCCCACACCACACGGGAGCCCCGTACAGTGCCATACTACGGGTTACTCCGGAGTACAACTTCCTGCACGGGGCTCCCGGCCCTCCGAGATATGGTATGTTCCTGAACTAACTATTTGTAACCTGGTGAAAGGTAATATCAATCGATTTCTGTCTCTTAAACTACGCGTTTGAACGTCTAGAGTTTGCTGATATAAATGTTTGTTTTTACGTACTAATTTACACATTTCAAACACATAAATGGAAGCAACAGTCAAAATCTTGCATTTAATGAAATAAGGTCTACAACTTTCCTTATCTGTAATATTTACCAATATACGAATGCATCGTTTTTGTAACACAAACAACTTATTTACCTCAGTACTGTTTCCCCACAAAATAATACCGTAGCTCAGCCAAGCATTAGCATATGCATAATAGGCGATCTTTGCTGTTTTTAGATCTGTGCATTTCTTTAATTCATATAGAGCGTAGGTGAATTTAGATAGTTTTGATGCTACTTTTTCAATGTGGGGTTTCCAACTCATGCCTGAGTCTATCTCAACTCCCAACAGCGTACAAGAAGGGGTAAAGTCAATGGTAATATTTTGAAACGAGAATTTTGTTTTTAATGGAGTTTTTTGTATTGGTTTAAATTGCATTAATTTTGTTTTTAATAAATTCATTTCTAAATTGTTATCCTTTAACCAATCTAATATTTTACTTAGGCTATAGTTAAGCTGTTCCTGTAAATCTTCCCTATTTTGACATGGAAATACAATCGATATGTCATCAGCATATATTACACATTTTCCCCTTATACATCTTGTTATATCATTAATATAGATTATGAAGAGAATACACCCAAGAACGCTACCTTGGGGAATTGAACGTTCTACTCTTTCTTTTTTTGAATCTATGTTCCAAATTACATTATTTTGATGATCATAATAATATACCCGTACAAATTGTTCCCTGTGCGTCAAGTAAGATTTCAACCAATCATATGCGTGACCCCGCACCCCCATTTCATACAGTTTCAATAGAAGAGTTTGATGACAGACCCGATCATAAGCTTTGCTCATGTCCAGCATCAATCCTACAGCATATTTCTTGTCATTTATTATATTTAAAATTTCATGTGTATAATCATAAAGGGCTGTTATGGTGGATCTACCTTTTCGGAAACCATGCTGACAGCCGTCAAAAACATCATATTTTTCACAAAACGAAGTCAAACGTGATGCCATAGTGGATTCAAAAATTTTGGAGAATGTTGATAATAGTGCAATGGGTCTAAATTGTTGGGGTTCATTTGCATTTGTTTTTTTAGGTATAGGTTTTATAACGGCAACTTTTAGCATGTTAGGGAATGATGCTTCATGAAAAAACTGGTTTATTAAGTACGTTAAAGGTTCAGCAAGTTCTTCTTTACATTGTTTTATTAGTGTAGGCGGAAATTCGTCAACACCGAAACTTGTTTTGCTTTTTAGAGATTTTATAATTTTAAGGACTTCGAGAGAATTAACCGGACTCAAATATATAGTGTTGTTAACGAAAGCAGACATGGCACGCCCTCGAGGTTCTGTAATATTTTCGTTGTGTCCTACTGATAAGAAATATTTATTAAGTCTATTTGCTATTAGATTAGGGTTAGTTACATCTTTTTTATTCAATTTTAACGTAATATTTTTATGCAATTTTTTATTAGGTTTGTTTGTCCTTTCTTTTTTAATTTCCCACATTGATTTAGTTATATTCTTAGAATTTTTTATTCTCTCTATATACTCACACTTTTTTGATGCAACTACTGTATTCTTTAGTATTTTTACATATTTTTTGTAATACTCTTTTAGCACTGTACTATTTGTTTGTGATTTTAATATATGTAAATGTCTTTTATTTTTACTTGATTCCCTTATACCCTTAGTTAACCATGTTTTCTTTTTACGTTTTACTTTTATTTGTTTTTTTGGTATACAATAATTTAGTAGAGAAGTTAGCTGGTCATGAAATATTTTATAGTTTTTATTTATGTCATTATCATTTGAAAATAAATCACTCCATTTTAATGATTGTAGATGTTTCTTATACAACAACATGTTTACTAAGCTAAAATGTCTTTTTTGGACATAATGTATAGACATATTAGATTTAATTGCTGTATATTTTTAGCTAAAGTTATTGTGATACCTTTGTGGTCAGAAATACCGTATTCGTTCACTGCTATGCTTAAGTTTGACGTGTCAAAGTTGGTAAATACTACGTCTAAGCAAGATGAACTATTTGCTGTTATTCTTGTAGGAACATTTACATTTTGATGAAAATTATATGTATTAAATAAATTGATCATTGCTTTGCTCTGGTTCGAGTTACCCAGAAAGTCTACATTTAAATCTCCTCCTAGTATGATACGTTTCTTAGGGTATTTTGTTGTCAACAATTTTAATAATTTTTCTAATTGTAAAACAAATGTTTTCGGTTCTCTATTTCTATCTGGCCAATATATAACAATCAATAACGTATTATAGTTAGTTAACTCTATAGCACAAATTTCAATTATGTATTCTATTGATAGCTGGTTTATATTTTCATATTCGATATAGTCCATTTCCTCCTTTACAAATATACATGCTCCTCCTCCTTCTCGATTTGTTCTAGAAAACTGGCTTGCCAAAGTGTATCCCTCCAAATGTAATAAATCAGTCTTGACTGTAGTTATCCAGGTTTCTGTGAAACCTAGCGCAGCAAAATTGTACTCTTCTAATAAAGTTTCTAATATGTGTAATTTATTTTTGATACTTCTAACGTTTTGGTATAAGAAAATAAGACCTTGTCTTTGTTTATCCTTTTTCAATTTGTTTGTGTCCTTCTGGTTTTGTTTACAACTATTTTTCTGATTACTAGTTGTGACGAAAGGACTTATCTTCTTCTTCATAGTTGTGTATTAAGGATTGTGGTATTGTTTTTCCTACTGGCAGTGTTGAGTTAACCATTATGCTGTGATCCTGTCTGTGTTTAATGTTTACATAATTTTTTTGCGATGTATTTAAAAAATTAGAATGACGTTTTGTTTTCTGGTAATTATGCTTTTCTTGTTTTTTGCGTTCTAAGCCATTTTCATTTAAATATTCTGATATCCATAATCCCGTATTTTTAAAGAATTTTATGTTTCCCAAAATATATTTTGTAACACGTTTACTTAGAAATTCAATCTTCAGCGCTCTTCGATTACCTCTCTTCCCTATGCGACAGACGTCTTCTATATATCCTGTGAGGTCAATTCCTATTACATCATAAAATATGTTAACAATTCTATCGTGTAACTCGTTTTCATCTTCATATCTAAATTCTTCAAGTCCATATAACACAATTATTTTTTCGTTGTTTGTTGTGCTTTTTTCTAGGCCTTTTTCAATTTTTGCTGTATTTTTCTCGTGCTCTGTTTCTACGACTTCACACTTAGTTTCTTATTACAATAAAATGCAAATCATATGCTTGTTTATCTAAATATTATATTTGCCTGACTTGTATTATTTGTTTCACTTTTTGTACCATGTATACGACAAAATCACCAACGCTGAGTATTGAAAAAAGTACAAATAAAAAGACTGAACTAGATAAAAGCTTTAAATCGAATTTCATGCAAACAACGACACAGCTTTCACCTGTGTACAGAAAAGGAAAATAAAGGCCTCTTCGACTTGTCATTAACGTGGAATAATTAAAAAATTCACCCTTACCACCCACTCTAGTGTATTTTCTTTTTTCTTCGCTTTTCTATTCGCTATTGTGCGCAGTTCCTCGTTAAAAACTAAATTGCCATCCACCGTTTAGGTATATAAGGGGAAGGGACTATAAAATTGATAAGACTAATTTGACTGTCGGAAGTGGAACAATTTTTTCGGACATAAATCGCGTATATTCAGAAGTAACGTTTCGGACTATTTACATACAGGTCCCGCGGTTACGGTTTACTGATGACGGGACTCGTGGAGAGTTCGAAACAATGGTTTATTTGAAAAATAGTAATTTAAAGAAAATAAAATTCATTTCCAATGTGTAGCAATCGTGAAAACCTAAGAGGTCGACAGATGACAGTATAACACTAGTTTATTTTAGTTATGAATGAATGAATGAATGATTCAAAGCTGCTGAGTGGCACTGTAACTGTTATGGACAGGCGTGTAACTTACAACCAGGCACACGACTTGTTCGTCTCGTCACTTGATATTAAAAAAAAAATAAAAACAACTTTTCCTCCGGTGGCTCGCCTTAATTTTTAAAATAAAGTTTGGTGACTCCCGTAGATGCTTGTAGAAGCGCTGCGTAGCGCCACAGTGGTGCTGCAGACGGATCACTTCTCATTTTCATACAATATTTTAGAAGCGCAGCTTCACGTTTGCAGTCACAATTAGTGAATTAAAAATAAATTACAAGTGCTACAGACGCACGGTTACCGCGCCACATTTGCGCCACTGCAGCCTTTTTAGAAGCGTCTAATTTGAAGTGCCCTTATAGACTAGTAGAAAAATATTCGTTTTTCGGGACAGGCCAAGGCGTCCGAGTCATACTGACAGATCTTAGAATTTAATTTTTCTTAAATTATGGATGACAGTGTGATATCAATTTTGAAAAAGGAATGACAATTCACATTACATCAAGAGCAGTCAAGTTGTAGTGCTTTTTTAACCGACTTTAAAAAAGGAGCAGGTTCTCAATTCAACTGCATTTACTTTTTTACGTGTAAGTTACGCGATTACTCCGGCATTTGTAAACCGATTTCGTTGATTCATTTTTGTTGAAAAGAAGGTACCTCTGTAGTGGTTTCATTCAAATTTAAAGAATCCCACCGCTAACGGTGACAAATTTGGGGATGAATCTGGTTTATGTCACGGTTGATTGCACCAACTGACCATTAACATAATTTCACAAAATTTTGAGATCAGTTTTTTTTTTATAAAAAGTTATGCTTATTACTTTCTACGAAAAGTAATTTGAAATCAATGAATGTTTACAAAATGTTGTGAAATTTAAATAAAAAAACGCAATACTAA